TGTCCCCCCCCCATAGCTAGCAATCCAAAACAGTCCAGTGGCACCTTTAAGACCAAGTTTTATTCAGGTACAAGCTCTCCCTCAGGTACAAGCTCTCCCTCCTCTGTGAGGGCAGATCTGCATGTCGTCGTCCCCCCCCCCATAGCTAGCAATCCAAAACAGTCCAGTGGAGCCTGAGCGGTGGGTGTTGCCTTCTGACACACTTCCGGTGATGACAGGGGGTGTGGCATATGCAAATAAGTTATGCAAATAAGTTATGCTAATGAGCTCCTGCACCTCTTTTTCTACTAAATGACCCCTGCCATTGAGCGTGGGCAGAATGCATTTGTCTTCCAAACAGCGGTCTCCTTGACACCTGGAAATAAAGAGCATGATTTCCTCTCACAACCGCTGCCCCCATTAACACAGTCACTCTGACTCTTGCCCATGTTATACATTAACACTTGCCTTTCCCTAAAATATAAGCCTCTTCACTGTTCCCTCATTTGCTTAGCTGGTCCATTTCCTTGTGGTGGATTCCCCAAAGTGCCTGCTTTCGTCAACATCATCAGCATACACTTTGTGTGTCTTTTACATTTAGTAACTTTTCTGCTCCTAGGTAAAGCCACTGGTCACTCCAGTTCCCTTGCTTTTGCACATGTTCCTGGCACAATTTTCTGTCCTTCTGTGGCATAGATACCACAAAGCTTAATTTGAGTCTGGCCCTCTTTTCCCCCTTAGAACCAACTAAACATTTCCCTTATCCAGGGGTCATTTCGTAGAAAAAGAGCTAGGGGGACACATTAGCATAACTCATTAGCATATGCCACACACCCTGACATCAGGGGCTCGGCGGTGGACCTGCAAGGCCGGCGGGAGTGCGAGGAAGCCCCGCCAAGGCCCTCCCTGGCCCCAGGCAGGCAGGGGTGGGAAGAGGCGGGGAGGAAGCAACTTACCCTCCCTCTTCTCCTGCCTCCTCCTGGCTGAATGAGGGCTGGAAGCGGGGCGGCCGGAAGCAGGGGGTGGGGCTCCGTCATGTGCCCCGCCCCCCGCACCTCACCCGGGGGAACTGCGATCCCCCCCCGAATCGACCTCTGCCCTTATCACATGTTACATGAAGGTGTTTTTTAAACTTCCTTTGTAATAGGCTAAAAAGAGTGATTCAGAGCATGTGAAGAGTACATTTTATTCTCTGTCAGGGCCTTTTTCCTGGGGGAATGTGCCAGAACATAGTTCCGGAACCTCTTCAACAAAATTCTTTTTAATATGCTTAAAAGTTCATGAGTTTTCAGTATACCGATTGAAAACTTCATTTCCCTCTTGAGAGTTACAGCACCTCTTTACAAAAAGAAGAAGAAGAAGCCCTGCTCTCTGCACACCCAGGGTGAGATCGGAGCTTCAGATTCAAAGGGGAGGTTACACCTTCAGGCATTATTGTCTCGGGCAGCTCTCTCCTTTTGAGTATGAACCATTGCTGCTCCCTAGCGCACCACTGCAAGACCAGCAGTATGGTAGCATTCCTGGGTACCACACCTGTGCTTGGAGGGGATATTTATACCATGGAACTTTTATGCAACGTGCCAGGGTGCATGTGAAGTGGCCAGGGATAGTGCCCTGCAGCAGGTGCCTTCCTTCCATAACTGCATCACTCCCATAAGACAAAGGACAAAGGGGTAACAGTTTCTGAGCGTGAACCATGGCACCTGTCCTGTTAGAAAATTGGTTCCATGTTGTACACTGAACAACTTCTTCTCACACACACATTTTTGCTCTCCCTCCCATTCCCAACATTTACATGTAGGTGTTGCTCCCTTTCACCTCCCCATCCCCCCAAAAGAAGACCACGATCCAGGTTACAAACATTTTGTCACATTTTTGCTCTCCCTCCCATTCCCAACTTTTTACATGTAGGTGTTGCTCCCTTTCACTTCCCCATCCCCCCAAAAGAAGACCAAGATCCAGGTTACAAACATTTTGGTTTTTATCTGAATAACACAGTTTTGAGAAAGACAACACACGGCTAGGCAAGAGAGAGGACCACAAAAAGAGTCCAGCTGATGACCCCATCTTATTCCAGTCAAGTAACTGCCTCAGAGAGCTGCCCCCTCTCTATTATTAGGAAACTCTGAAGAAAAGCATACCGGTTTCCCTAGACTGAGGACCAATGTTCCCTCTAAGCTGTGGAGTCTTGTGAGCAAAAATTCTCCTTTGTGAGCTACTGGCATGAAAGTTGTGAGCAAGAGATTTAGCTACTGCATCAATGAGTTTGCTCTGGAGCCATCCTTCCTGAGCAAAGACAAAAAATGTGTGAGCCGGAGGTTAAAAAAACTGTGAGCTAGCTCACACTAACTCAGCTTAGAGGGAACACTGTTGAGGACACTCTGCTTCTTTCCTACTCCCCCAAATCCATCCTCTGTAGTCGAAAAAGTTGAGAGCAGCTGGGTTCTGAGGCCAGCTGTGTGAGAAGAGGGAGTTATAGTGAGGTTGTGTAGCCGGAGCATTTTTGTGCAATGGCACTCACCTGTACTGAGTACCAACACTTTGGATGGTGGGGGGGGGGCTGTCCCGTGTCCTGAGGGGGAAATTGGTGGAAATCACTGCAGTCTCATCTATGAGCACTGGCACCTCTTCTTTTTACAACAACAACAACAAAAGCACTGCATGTATGCATGTGTCTGTGTGAGAGAGATCCATTTCCTCTTGAATCTGGCTGAGGCAGGCTGTGAGAGATGGACAGGGAGAGGTTGGGGCTCAGCAGCCCCCTTTGTTTGTTGGGCCCCTGGGAATAAGCAAACCTTTAACAAATTATTAACCAGCGAGCAAATAGCACCAGTCCAAAAGCAAGACAGGGTCAGGGTCTCCTGCCACATTCCCCTCACTGCTCTCCTAGCCATGCCCCCTCCTCTCCTGAAAACAGCTCGCAAACCAGACCTTGTGTGAGACACTCCCCCTTTCCTACCATTTCCATGCCTCATGTGTTCTTTACGTCAAGCTTCAGCTTGGTTTGCCTTTTCTTTGATTCATTTCATCCCGTTCCTTCTGGTCATTGTTCCTTCCCTCATTCTCTGGTTCTCCCGTTTTCCCCCTCACACTCACACATTCTTTCATTCTTGGAGGAGGAAAAAAACCCCAGACCCCTAAGAACCTTCCTCAAGGCACAGTTGTGAATAAAGCGGTTGGTTCTCCAAGTGCCAATTTATCTCGTATGTTCACCTGCCACCCCTCAGTCTGTTCTTGCTTCACTCAGTTGTCCACTGCTGCGGTTCCATCCTCACTCATCTGCCCACACACTTCCCATTCCCATAACCGTTGTCGCACTTAGCCATTAATTCATCCGTCTGTCTTCCTGTTCGCATTTGCCCAACCTCTGCACTTTTTATTCCCCTCCTGTTTGTTGTTCTCTTTCATTACTGTTTGTTCATTCTTTTGTGTATCGGTTTGTTCACGTGTCTTCCCACTCACACATGCACTTACAGTCACACACACACAGAGAGACAAACATTCCAGAATTGCCAGATATCACAGCTCAACCCAGACCGATCGGCCTTGGCCCAGTTTTCTACCATGAAAGTCCTTGCGCCAGTGATTCCTGTTAGGGTTTGGGCCTGGCAACATCTGGCAATTGTACCTCCACCACCACCACCACTCATACGTAGTCCCGCTTGTCAATCCCGCTGCCTGGGGGTGCAGTGGATCTGGCCGGGGCAGAATACCCGATACGCGGCGGTGGGTAGCGGTCCTCCCGTGGTGGGCAGGAGCAGCACAGCAGTGAGCCCCCAAGGAGAAGCAGCGCAGAAGCCGCCCAGCCGACATAGAGAGCAGCTCCCAGCTCCCTCTTGAGGGCTTCGACCACCAGCGGGTTATAGAAGTCGCGGATAATAGTGTTGGCCGACCAGCACACGGGGATGAGGGTGAGGAGCCCTGAGACAATGAAGAGCGAGCCGGAGGTGATGGTGATGCGGGCCTTGGCACCTTCGTCGTCTACGCAGTTAGTGCACTTGGCCCCCACAATGCCCACCAACAGGGCCCAGATGGCCAGAAGCACAGCAATGACCATGAGGGCCCGGGCCGCTTGGAGATCCTGAGGCAGGGCCAACATGGAGTCATAGATCTTGCACTGCATCTGACCGGTGCTCTGCACAATACAGTTCATCCAAAGTCCCTCCCAGATGATTTGCGCCACAACAATGTTGTTCCCAATGAAAGCTGTGACCTTCCACATGGGCAGGGCGCAAGACATAATGCTCCCCAGCCAGCCAAAAATGCATAGGCCCATGGCCAAGATCTCTAGCCCTGCAGAGGACATTGTGGGTGGTCTTCACCGAGCCCCCACAGGACGCTGTTCCTGTCTCGGTTTCTGGGACACCCAGATTAAGAGGTGATTAACAACCCAAAGATGGTAAGTCTTTAAGCAAGGAGGATGAAAAATTGAAGCCTTCAGTCTTCGAAGGGAGGGACAAAAGTGAAGGTTTCTTCCCTGAAAGATCAAATGATAAGACCTCGGAGAATATTCCGCCAATGTACAGGACCAGGAGAGCAGATTCTTTTGCGGGCTCCTCTGTGGAATCAAGTCTCTTTACGGGAAACAGCTGGCAAAAGTACAAAGCAGCCTTTCCGTGTTACACGCTAAGAGAAGCAGCTCAGAAGGTGGGCTGTTGACAGCATCCAACAGGTGGCTTCTGAAGCGAGATTGTCCCTTACCTGTCCACAAAGTGTTAACCTATAAGCTCGGCTGCAGAAGGCATGCTGGATCAGGAAGAACAGACAGGTGGAGAAACAGCAAAAGAGAACTATGCAGGAAGACGCTGGAAACGGGAGTTGGATAGACCGTCTTCGCTGAGGCCACGGCCAGGCTGTTTGTTGTTGAATTGTTTGTCGCACAGGTACCTGCTGTTCTCTGGAAGGATCCCGTGGGAGCCGATGCTTAGCAGTGAAGAGGGGCGGGTTATATGTGCCCCCAACAGGTGAATGGGAGGGGCGGGCAGCCCAAGCTGAGACAGGCATTGGGGGCTCCATGGTAACAACGGTCTGGGTGGTGGTGTCGAGGAGGAAATTTGAATATTTCTTTATTTTCTGTTAGCAAGTTGGGAAGCTGCCCGTTCTTCAGGAGAAGGGGGGGAGAGGGGGAGGTCGAGAAAAACAACAAGGGGCTGGAGAGAGGGGGGGGGAGAGAGGGTGATAGAGTTCCTTGAGGAGAAAGCACATTGCCTCAAACAATTGTATTCGGGAGTACAGCAAGAACTGCTTCGTGAAACACATATTCAATACAATAACAATAAAAAATAAAAGCGTAATGTGTGCACGCATGCACGCACAAACACAGACCGCTACTCTTGCTGGAAAAATGCAGATCTCTCTGGGGTGAGGCAGGTGAAGAAGAATAGTTCTGTTTGGCATTGGAGAGCCAGGGTGATTGAGAGCGAGATTATATTTTTCGTAATCAGTCTCACCGATCCATCATGCTGTCTAGCAAACTTGAATCATCTAGTTCTCCAGTAGACCGTACGGATATCAGAATAAGTTTCGTCCACGTTTTGTAAATACCTGCTTTAATTTCTGTTGCATTTCTGGCTTCTGCCTGTTCGACCTCCCTGCTGATGTCTGGAATCCTCAGTAAATGTGTCAATAGAACACAAAACGGAGGCTATTCCCAAGAAGTCACAGCGCTTCACATGCAAGTTTTTTTCAGTCACAAAACCCCCTGTGAGGTACATTGATATTATGCAGGGGGAGGGCCCAGCTGAAATCGAGACAGAGGGAATGTTTCTTTTAAAAATTATTTAGGTATACCCTGCTTTTTTCTCCAATAAGGACCTAAAGAGGCTGACGACGTCATTCGGCCCCCCCTCCATTTTATCCTAACAATAACCCTGTGAGGTAGGTTGGGCGGAGAGACAGTGACTGGCCAAAGGTCACCTAGCAAGCTTCCACAGCACAGCAGGGATTCGAATCTGGGGCTCCCAGATCCTAGTCTGCCACTTTGTCCACCCCATTCTTACACACGTAAGCAGTAAGTTCTGCTCTCCAGTAAGCAAGACAAGTGAGCTTGCGACAGAGGTCAGATTCAAACCACAGACTTCCTCTTTCATTATTCAAGCGTTTAGTCATTATCTCTAGGTAAACAGCCACAGCGGGGTACGTATATCTTCTAATGCCAGCCTGGGCCAATCAGCTGACCTTACTCGATTCTTCATTCTCCAGGCTGACATGAGTCCTATTCCGAAGCCTGATAAAAGGTGAGCTGAGCACACACAAGTCTAAAATGGGCTGATAACACAGAAACCGCACTTGTTTAAAGAGGAATGCAGGAGATAGCCAGAGACTCCCGCTATGATCTTCGTTTGGTAGCTATCTTCTGACCCAGTAATGCCCCCTTTGTTTTGCCCAAGGACTGAGCAGGAATCTATAGGGCTGCCCACTTCCAAGACAATATTAGCCAGCGTCAGCCCAACCTCATAGCCAGGCAACTGTATTAGATTTGGGGTAGGTGATTCTGGAAAATCCTCAAGGGAGGAGGCCGTTGCCCTGCCCACACACAACCCTCAGAGACTCAGGTCAGCAGGGTCTACAGCAAGAAGCAAGCCCCCTGCCCCTATTTTCCCCACTACAGTCCCTTCCCCTACTTGAGCAGTTGGGAATATTCTTGTACAGGGGATCCAGTCCCCTGGACATATCCAAGATGCAGGGCTGAAGTGGGGAAACAGCAAATTCGGTTTTTCTCCAAGGCAGCGACATACCTTGAACCAGCTCAGCCAGCCCCTGATTCATGTAAAGTTCTGGGGTTCAGAGGATTTCTGCTAGGCCCCAAAGCCATGCAAGAACTAAGGGCTGTCAGTGGGATGGAAACAGGCAATCCCAAGGACAGTTGCCTCAGGAATGGGGGGCCTGAGCATTTCCTCTCTGGGGACACAGGCTGTGATCAAAGATCAGCCATGGTAGTTTTACTTATTTATTTAATTCATGCCACATACCCTGCCTTTCTCTCAAGTGGAGACCCAAAGCGGCTTACATGTTTGACCAGCTAAGGGTTCCACACGGCTCGGCTCAGCTTGGCGTCTCCCTGAAGTTGTTACAACCTGGATCAGTTGGGGGGGGGGGCGTTACCTGAAACCACGCCGGAACAGGGCATGCCGGAGGGCAGAAGGGGGGAGGAGTGTTGGAAGAGACACCGCCAAGAGCTCCTTTTCTAGGTCACTGCTGCGTGCCCATATTCCACTTTAGCAGGCAGATAGGATCACGTTGCCAAGGGAGACGGACTGGGCCCGAGAACAAAGGCAGGCAGTGAAGGGAGACAAGGAGGCCTGGGCCGCCTCACCTGGGAGAGATCAAGTGTCCTCCCACCTTGCTCCCCCTCCTCACATGCTTTCTTTTACAGCAATGCTCCACCTTCTGGCCACTCCAGGAAATTGCACACCCTCAAAACAGCATTGTTTTTGTTGTTGTTCAGTCGCACAATCAATTCCGACTCTTCGCGACCCCATGGACCACATCACGCCAGGCCCTCCTGTCCTCCTCCATCCTCTGGAGTGTGCTCAACTTCATGTTTGTTGCATCGATAACACTGTCCAGGGGTCGTTTCGTAGAAAAAGAGCTTGGGGAACTCATTAGCATAACTCATTAGCATATGCCACACACCCTGACATCACCAGAAGTGTGTCATAAGGCCACACCCCCTGACATCACCGGAAGTGTGTCATAAGGCCACACACCCCACCCCCACCGGAAGTGTGTCATAAGGCCACACACCCCACCCCCAACGATCCCGGCCGCCGCCGCCGGCCTTGCAGCTCCACTGCCGAGCCCCATGAGGGGCCCGGCGGTGGACCTGCAAGGCCGGCGGGAGTGCAAGGAAGCCCCGCGAAGGCCCTCCCTGGCCCCAGGCAGGCAGG